AGATGGCGAATGAGGTAAGGCCCGGCTGCGGTGAGGGGTGGTGCATAGTAGTAGTCATGTCGGACCTTCTTGTCGCTCTGTGCAACAATTCTTACAAGCAGGTGTATCTCAAGGTCGTGAATGAACAATGGTGGACTGGGTAGAAATCAAGTTCAGGGATCCCATCATCTGAAATTCATCGAGAGCCGAGGCGGCACCCGGTGGGGGGTTGGACGAGAGGTGGTTGGGATGGCTAGTGCGTGCGTTGTCGACGTGTCAAAAGCGTGCTGGCGTTTGTTTACCACACCGACACTTTAGCGCGGCACGGTTGTTGGGAGTAGCCGCAAAAGGTACAATAACGGTGGCTAGTCCTCTCCAGCCCCATACTTTCTGCACACCGCGAACGCTTCAATTGTTAAAGCGCACGGAAAATCGTTGACGCGCTGGATTTCTATCGGTGCAGCCCCCGGCAGTGTTCCCGCTTGTATGTCTCCGTTAGTATTCTTCGCCTTTGATAGGATCTGGGTCCTTCTTCATGCAAGTGCAGCCTCATTCTGCAACATGTAACATGACTACTCAAAGATAACCAAACCCCCACCAGACGAGAAACCATCGCAGGCGCGCATAGCGACAAGCGAAAGTGAGCAGCAGTCAAACCTCGAGCTATTGAACCGACTACTTCATCCACCAAGTAGAAAACAAATGTAGCTCCAAAGTCAAACTTAGCGTACCATGGTCTACAACAAACCTCACGATGCACAGCAATTTTGTCCAAGTTTCGCCAGACGCTTCTTGTCCACGTATCGCTCTGTGGGGCACTACCCCTCTCGTTCGACTCATTCATCACACGCACACGAACAAAGACGTGAATATTCCACCACCACAGTAGCCAGCACACCCTGCATCGGCTCACACTTCCGTACAAGGCATACTCCGCACCTTACATGATGAGATCCATCGTGAAGCCCTTGTTCGGTAAATCTTGAAACAAATTGCAGCATCATATGTTTTTTTCTGGACTAGACATATGCGGGAGAAGACTAGGCTCGATGCCAGCTCCATATGCATCACGAGTCGATTTGACTTGCATAACAGATGTTTGCAAGTGCTCAGCTCGTAGAGTACTATGACAAGCAGACTGAAGATCAATCAGAAAAAGAAGGTGAACTTTCAGCACTGAATACGTTTGCATCATTTACATTGTCGTCCAAGTGAATCTAACAACCTCGATCTAACGCTAGACTTTCCTCATCATTGGTCTGCTTCTCGTCTACAACTCATCCGGTCCACCCTCTCTCCCCTCCTTCTTCTCCGCATTCTCAGCGTAGATGCCCGCCTTCCTCAATGCTTCCTCAATCTCCTGCTGACTGGGCGCTTCACCCCCATGCGCCTGATGTTTGATATCTCCATTCTCCATGTCCTCGACCTGCTGTTGAGAGTCCGGGTGAGGATGTTCTGCCGCAGCAGGCTTCTCGGTTTCCTTGGTTGCCTTTTTAGTTTTGGTGGCCGATTTCTTGGCCTTGGACTTTGTCGCCTTGGCCTTCGTAGTCTTTGACTTGGAAGATTGCGTCGGAGGCTTGAAGTGCTTCATTTTCTTCATCATCATGTCCATGACGACGTCATCTAGCTTCTTCTTCTCAGCAAGAATGTCCTTGACGGTAAAAGCCGGATCGTCGGTGGGTGTGAGTTTGCTCTGCTTAGCCTCATTCTCGTCAAGCCATGCTTGTGCTTTTGAGGCGTAGTCCTGGACAGTCTTTAGGTCGTCTTCCGTGTAAACAGTAGGAACTTCAGTGATTTCAGGTGCGGCGGGTGCATCTGCTTCGTCGTCAAGCTCGTCCCTAGGGTCGGGAGATGGCGGGGCGGCAGCGGCAGCAGAAGCCTTAGATACTGCTTCACTGCTCTTGGAGCTCTCGGCTGATTGGGTCTTGATCTGACCATTCACTAGCTGCTCGACTTCCTTGATGTGAGCGATGGTGTCCTTGAGTTCTTTGATGGCGTCAGGCCGCTTGGAAGCCTCGTCTTTGCGCTTGAGAACGGGGTTGACAATGTCCTCGAGCTCCTTCAACTTGCTTCTGAGAGTCTTCTCATCTGCATCTGCTCCGCCAGAGTACATCCACTCTGAAGCGGCTTCGAGCGTCGTCTCGAGTGTCGAGCGGACAGCAGAGGTGGAAGCACCGATGAACGACTCATCCTCAATGTAATCACGGGCACGGTAAGTGAAGGCTTCAAGCGAGTTCAAGACCTCTTCGCGAACGCGGCGAGACTTGTCCGACGAATCGAAAGCAGCGAGCCTATTCAAAATTAGCGTGTGAAGAAGTCGAGCACCGTCCACGGACTCACCTGTCTTGCATCCTCTTCAGCTCCTTACGAGGGAACTTCTTGTATCCTAGCTGCTCAACATCGTATGTAATTGCCGATCGAATGGTCTTAATTTTCTTCTCGCCAGCCTTCGCAGCATCAGTGCTCTCGGCACCCGCCGAAGACGAAGACGATGAAGATTTCGAAGATGACTTGGAAGCGGACGAAGAAGACGAGCTCTCACTCTCCTTCAACGGCTCCTGGTCTTTCTTGCCACCCATTCCAAACAGGTTCTTAACGCCATCAACAATCCCGCCCTTGACCTCCTCGCTCTCAGTCTCGCAGGTAACCCACGCGGACAAGACTTCAGGAGTACCGGTAACAGGGCTAAGCCTGACTTGTACGTAGTTGTTAAAGGAATCACGGTCGCACTTGTCGTCATTGATCATGTTTGTAACAACCTGAGTCAGGTTACCGCTCTGGAAGTGAAGAGTGGGCTCCTTTGACACCTCGCCATTAGCACCAGGGATGGCCTGGTACATGGTGAACTCAAACTCGCCCATCATCTGGAATGGCAGATCCTTGGTCGCTCCAAGCTTGGTGCTGGGGGTGAAGATCTTCTGGTCGCGGTCCTTCATGTTAAACATGTACTGGTAACCGTGGTTGTAACCCTGGGTATCCGAATCACGAATCTCCTTGACGCGGAAAGACGGGCTGAGACCAGCGGCCTTGAAAGCAGCACCGAATACGGCGGCCTCGTCGGCGTTGACATTCGCCCTGATCTTACTCTTGCCTGCGACAGCCTCGAGACGAGCCTGGACGAAAGGTGTACGGCTTGCGCCACCGTGGACGATGACGGAGTCGATGTCAGCGAATGTGAGTCCAGCAGCTTCCAGAGCTCTGTTGATGGGTCCATCGATGCGTTGGGCATAGGTAGCGGCAAGCTCCTCGAATCTAGCGCGAGGGAGTTTGTATCGGAAGTCGACATCCTCGTAGAAGCTCTCGAAAAAGGATGTGGTCTCCTTGTTGGCGCTGAGCATCTGACGAACCCTCTCAGCCTCCTTGAAGAGCTTCGCAGCGGTACGTCCATGGGTCTTGACCTTGTCCGCGGTGAAAGAAGCGCTCTTGGCAGCAGGCAGCTCAACGAAAGTAGCCACCATATCGTCGACAATGAGCGAGTTGAGCGCATCACCTCCAAGAGTCCTGTCCCATCCAGTGCCCATAACCTGAACCTCCTGGATAGTCTTGTTGCGCCTTCCAACGTCCTTGACAGTCCTGCCTTGGAATTTGAGAATAGTAGCAGACAAAGATCCAGCACCCATATCGAAGACCAGGTTGATCTCCGGCTTGCCATCCTTTGTAACATCAGGGAATGTCCTACCTGTAGCGTAGTTGAGACCAACAGCCAGACCATCCGACACGACGCTAAGCACCTTGAGACCAGCCAATCTTGCGGCAATCTCAAGTGCACGCCTCTCATCTACCGTGTAAAAGGCCGGGACGGTAAAGACAACGTCCTGGATATCGTATCCCTTGCCTGCGAGCGCCTTTGCGTTCTCTCTGACGTTCTTTAACTCCATCGCCAATAGTTCCTCGACTGTGTATGATTTATCCTCTGAGAAAACGCCGCTCTGGAAGCTGACCGTCTTGCGACCCTCTGTGCCTGTAACCTCCAACGCGGGGTATCTCTCCTTGTACGTGCCCACAATATCGCTCTCACTCGATACACCAAGAAGGTGTTTCAGGTTAGGGTATACATCGCCTGGGAATCGTCCTTGCAACGCAATCGCGTCGCCGCCGTAGAAGCGTTCGGGGAAGGAGCCAGCGGGAAGCGCACCGCCTTTCGATGGCTTGAAGGCAACGGCCGATGTTTCTTTCCGTTTCGAGTCTTTGGTGAGGACGATTTCGAGGGGAATGCCAGGCTTTACTAGTGCGGCTTTGATGTATTCGGTGCCCAGATCGACACCCAGCACTGCTGAGGCGGCGGATGCGGTGGACGAGAAGAGGAAAAAGAGACCGAGGAGGATTGTTCCGGGCGAGAGGTTACCTCTCCGGCGTCCGGGTGGCGCCATGATGTGTGGTGGTGTGGGAGAGTGCAATGTGTCGTTAACGTGCAGGCGCGGGAGGGTTGTAGTGGGATGTGCGTCGCGGGGAAGGAGCAGGGTATGTATTCGAGTAGCAAGCCTCGATAGAAGAAAAGAGAAGGATTGGGAATCTATCCCAAGAAAAAGCGGTGTGAATGAAGTGTCGGTCGAAACCGTGTTTCTTCTTGTCGTGTAATCGGTGGGCGGTTTCGTAGTAAATGTACTTGGGGTCGAGCTACCCTGTTCCGAACTTATTTGACACCTGGTCTTTGTCAAAAGGCCAGTTTGACGTTATATCGACCAACGCACGTCACGAGTTAAGATTGCTGTTTTATCTAAAGCTTAATTCACGGCTGCCTAGAGCTGCTTTTGGAATGAGGACATTTGGTCTTATGTAGTTCTTTTGTCGAGTACTATGCACGACTTTCGAGATCCTTTGGGTGCTCTAGCCAATCACATCGTCAGGACACCCGTCTTCGCCGCAATGCAGCAGCGCGACCATGTCCTCTACTTGCAACTTGCAGCCACGCTTCATGCTCTGCAGAATCATGCATGTGTCTTTTTGAGACTCACACTATATTCCAGTTGCCGCTGTCCCTATACACTAGCACCGTCAATGTTACCTATAGTACCGGTCCATCATATCCCACGGTTAAACTCCACCATTCCATCCTTGCCACCGCGCTCATGAAACTCGGGCTCAAGCGTCTTCGCACTAATAGCTTGACGTTGTGGGAACGCAGCGAGCGCAAGCGGTAGTGCGAAGATGGACGTCGTGAAAATAAGTCCTGATGCGTGTTAGCCAACCCTACCACCATCTCACAGATACTTGCACATTGACTCACCCAAGTTGACAGGAGTCACCATCCTAGGCCTCTGCTTAAGCCACTCGGTCTTCTGCAGCCTAACAAGAATCAGAGGAGGCAGCACCATGATCGGCGTTGCATTGAGCACACGACTCAGCGCTGTTTCTCCCACTGCCAATGTGGCCGCTTTCTTGCTCTTGCCCAATGGCTTGATCTCGAGATCGCCTGTATCCACTCGCTGTCGCTCAGCTTCTGATAGCGCGGGGTACACGTCGATGCCCTGCCTGATCTCCTCGCCGCGCATCAAGAACACATTGAGCGCACCCGCTGTTGCGACAGCCGCGAAAGGCACTAACCGACCCGCGATGACTTTTGCATTGGGCGAGAGACTCTTAAGGCGGGGCACCAGCGCGTTGAGACCGAGTGCGACACCGCAGGATGCGCTGACGGCCGTGAGGTATGACTGGACGATGGTTGAGGTAGAGAGCGGGACCGACTTATTCGCGTTGGAGAAGTTGATTCCGACGTTGACGGACTGGTTGGTGACTTGCCATCCTAGTGTTCCCGCCGTCTGTACACGATCAGTATTGTCGTCCCGTCTTAGCATAGAGCTTCTCCTACATACCCCAAGACCTGGTGTAAGCATCCCAGCCGTGACGACCAGATTGGTCAGAACAAAGCTCGACATGCGGAAAGGCAGAAAGACTGGCTGTCCCGTGTCTTGCACTTTTGTCAGCGTCCTTGCCCTTCATCGTGCCATTGCGCTGGTTGTAGTACCTGGATGTATGGTAGAGTCGATGATCTTCTTTGCGTTCCACAGCTCCGGTGTCATATCTGGGATCTTGCCCGTCTTGTACGCGGTGACGAGCTTCTTTGCATTTTCGAGGCTGGCTGACGAGGTGAGGAGGGTTCTGTTCGCGCGTTTGTCAGTTGTGATCTGGACTGACAATTGAGACGGAGAGAAGTGATTGAAAAGCCATGAGTCGTGGTACTCACCACACACCCAGCATCCGCAAGGAAACATCATATCCAGCGCGCAGTGTCTCACCTCGGATCCGATATATTTGCTGAGTGCTGCACGCGACCCCAGTATGTGCCCAGATCGTACTGCGAGACGGGCAAGTCGCGGTTTCCAGGTAACGAGGACGTCATCTTGACGAACAGGAGGATGCGAAAACCGCGGTCGAAGCAAACAAAGCCTCACTAGCCCGCAGAGTCGCAACGAGTTGTGGATGAGTCCTAGTGTGGGTAAACGCAAACAACGATATCGGCGATAATGCGGAGCGGGAACTAACGACAAGCGCGGTAGCGACAAGTTTAATAATATATCTGCCTTTCTAACTTCTATCAAGCTTCCAACCTCAGCCTTACTACAAAGCTGGTGCATCTCATGCTGTCAAAAATAAATGAATACTGTGCGCGTGCATGCAAATAACGCTCTAAGATGACTGGAAAGCCCCGCCAATGGCTGTCTCCAGCATATACCAAACATTAACGCGGTATGAACATTGTGAAAACAAGCGGTTTTATGCAACAAAATCAATTCCGTATCCCGTCGTCCATCCTCTATGGCTCATTTCTTCGACTTCTTCTTCGATTTGCCTTTTTCAGGCGTCGTTCCAAGTATGTCGTCAAATGTCTTGTTGGGATCGTGATTCGACGCGGGTCTCAGCGAGGGCGAGCCCATAGGCATTGGCGGGGCTACACCAGGAGGCAAAGGCAACGCTTCCAACCCGAGGTTCATGACACTCTCGCGCCGCCGGTCGGGGCTCTGAGATCGTCCACGGGCAGCGTTTGAAGGGTCCAGGAAGCCAGGTGGTGGGGCTAATGGCGAAGCTTCTGCATTCAGCTCCTGCATCGCGGCGTTGAGAATCGTATCGTTCGCTGCCCATTCTTGTGCCTTCTTCCAACAGTGAGATCGTCGGAAGGTGCCTTCAACGCCGTGTTCGACAACATCCGTTGGTAAGCTGACGACCTGTGCTCCTCCTGCTACACCAAACCATGTTCGAGATCGTGTTGTGTCCTCCCGAGCCCACGGTACACCGCTTCGAGGTACCTCGCACAGGAAGTATTCCACGCCCTCGGTAAACCGTACGCCGGGTGCATCAACGATCAACATGGGTAATGACTGGATGACGGCGTACAGGAATAGCCACTGTCCCGATCGCATATCCCACATGTCGTCCATATTCGAGCCCGTGGCTTGCTTGAACTCAAACTGGCGGAAAGCCTCCAAGAACGGTGTCTGCTGTTCGGCGTCTGCATTATGCGATTGCTTTAGCAGTTTTGCTATTTCGTCTTTGTGTAGCTTTTTCCCACGAGCTTTCGCATCCTTCTTCGCGTCGCCTGTCTTTGCGTTTTGCGAAATGGGATATAGTGGCAGGTCAAAAGGAATTGGTGGCGCGACTGGCGGCGTGCTACGGTCGTATTCGCTCAAAACCTTTCTCAGCGCACGTGCGACAATCGATTCGATATCGGTTCCCTCGTCTTCTGCGATAAAGCCGTCCGCAGTGCGATTTGTCAAGTTCTTCCTGTCCACAAGGAGGTCATACAAGTTGGACATGTCGTGGTAAATTTCCAATAGGACCAATCGGTTAAGCCCACTTGTGGTTAAGTTGTTCTTCTTCGACTTGGCCTTTGGCAGCCATGAACCGTACTTGTGCCGGTAGTAGTCCATAACAAAAGATTTGATCGTCATGAAGGCAGCCCTCCATTTTTTGAAGCTAATGACCTTGCCTTCGCTTGCCATGGCGCTGTTCATAATACCAGAGAAAATGTGCGGGAACTCAAAGTCCTTGAGCTTTCCATTGATGGTGGCTTCGCGATTATCCAGGTCCATAGCAGCACGGGCTAGTCGCGTAGCACTCTTGGGGCTAATCATGGCAAATTTGGGCGAGTCCAGCTCTTTGATGCTGTCGTACTTTCCAGCAGCGTGGACAAAGCCTTCCGTGTATAGCGACATGGACCGCAATTTTTCGCCTAATACAATGGCTTCTATCGTCTTCTCGCGGCTGTGACGGACGTCTGCCAGAGTCAATTCATCGACATAGCAGTCGAAGCTGGAAGCAGCAACTTCGCCAAAGGTAGATCCATCAACATTGGAGAAGGCATAGTGTGACAAAATGTCTCCTATCCGCAGGAATATGTCGAAGATGTCTGAATGACGCTCCGTAGCGACCAGCGACTGGCCAATGAGAAAGGCGAAAAAGTTGCGGTAGGTGACCAATGTGTCCGTGTCGCTTGCGTTTAGTCGCGGCTCGTGAGGCGTGATGTTTGAGTCTGAGCTCAGCGAGATCGGCATGTATAAATGCTTTTCTGTGTACTCATCATCGAGGGCGTCGCTTAGCGCTCTGGACCCCTTGGATATCGACTCATCCGAGCTTCCTATCTGGCTTTGGTCGGGGGATGCGGTCCGTGATTGTTCGCCAAAGGGTTCGCGAGACACGCGTCGCGACGTTCTTTCTGCCAGATCTAGCGGGGGCACGTTCCCATCGCTGTAGAGGCTGCCGTGTACGAGGCGGGTGAGCAGCTGTGATGCTGCGTATACGGAGGAGTCGATACGGAAGGAAGGGCCCTTGTCAGATGTGCGGGGAAAGAGGTAGACAAACGTGTCACCTGCATCGTCCCATAGTTCAGGTACCTTTCATCTCGTCAGCACACTCGGCACCATATTGTCAAGATCAAAGAGGACTACCTTTTCGCCGTTCAACAAGAAGGTCAGGTTGTATGGGACCTTGCCCTTGTGTCCGACTATCCACGCAAGCGGGCTGGCATTGCCGGACGATGTTCTGCTGTGCGAGCCATTGAGCCCCTCAATGCCACCTGGCGGGCCTCCAAAAAGACCGCTCTTCCTGCGCAGTTTCTTGAGTTTGCCTTCAGAACTTGGTTCTAAGCTCGGCGTTCCTGGTCGGCTGCTAGCGGGGGAGGATGCGCGCGAAGGGACCTCGAGCGGCGGCGGCGGCTCCAGCGGCTCAAGATCGGCAGGGTCGACCGGCTGGATGGTGGGATTGGAAAGAGACACTTGACGTGGAGATGCGGGTGCAGCTGGTGGAGGGTATTCGGGCGTGAGGTGTGACGCCGAGGAGAGGCGGTTGCGCACTTTGGTCAGGCGGCTGCTGGACTCTGACGAAGCAGGTGTTGGGCTCAACTTCGTATTCGTAGACCCTGATGACGGTTCCGACGACCCAGACGATCCGAACAAACTCGACAGCCGACGGCTCGACTTCTTCTTGTCTCCCAACATGGCGAAACGGTCTACTCTTGGTCTACGCGGCTCAAGAGGAGCGAGAGTTGGGGTATCGTAAAGCGCAAGAAAACACTATGCGCTCATTAACATAGGGTCGACAAAACACAGCGGATAGCAAACACGAGCACCACACATGCAGGGCCCCGGGCCGGTCAAGGTAGTATATAGTCAAAGGGAAACAGAAAAGCTTAGTGAAAGAACTAAGTGATCTATATTTGAGCTGTTGCAGATCCGGCAGTGTCGCAACCATGCTAGTGCACGAGTAACGTCAAAGGTTGGGTGGCCACAACGTGGGTCGATCAGTGTCAGCTGTGATTGGTTTTTCCCTTCAGTCTGGAGGCTATATTTCCAGCTGGGTACGCCCGACCGGCCACTCAGCGGCCTCTTGGATGTACAAAAGGACCCTTTGCCAGTGTTGGCTCACACCTGCGAGCACCTGCGCCTCGTACTGCGGGCAAGGCCCACCTCATCCACCGAATCGGACCCATGCTCAGCCGCGTCGTGTCAACTATTAGTTGTTTCGAGTCCTTCCCAGCCTTCAAGCATGCAGCCATCAATACAGATTCGTGTGACCCTTTGAACGGTGTGTATGTGTCTGTAGAGCTGCAGCTGACATACCGTGTTTTTTGTGACTATTTGCAACATCGGTGTTGACTATTGAAAGGCGCGGCGGCTTCAATCTTAAGCGAAGGGATGACGTACCATCCCTAATCGATAGCGTGCACCCGAGGCCTCGTGGCTGTCAAACACACGTGCAACGAGCCGCGCCTTAAGTGTGAGTAGGCGTGGGAATGACATACCGCATGCGTACTTCAAATTCCATCCAGATGCTGCCAACGCTCATCTCCGAACTTCGCATCTGATATAATCTCACGACCACCACGATATTGCTTGCCTGAGTCCACTCTGCTCCATACTTGCGCACCAGCCACTTCGGTTACGTAGCCGTGTTCTGAAGCCGCGTTATCCTCAATGCTGAACACGGCTTCATCAGCACTTGATACAGAATTCAATATGGGCGGCGGAGAAACTATCGCGGACCAAATACTTAAGACGTTCGCCCTACCGGACGTCGTCGGCTCAAAGACTAGCTCTAAGAAGCTGATCAATCTTCTAAGAGGGCACGTGCTCCTGCTTTTCATGCAAACTCGCATACCCTTTTGGGACATTACGCGGCCCAATAAGACGCATCGCAGCCCCGAGTGATCGCTGACAAGCAACAGATGGCCAAACGTGTCTTTATTGCCTACGCAATTGCTCGACAAAGCTGCCCATAATGTACTCCAGAAGAAGCCTATGGCGTATCCTGCCATGTGCTATGGACCCGATTCAGGTGATCCCAGGCTACGCAGCAACATTGCGCAATGGCTCACAAAGTTCTACAAGCCTGCGGACCCAGTATCTGAAGAACGCGTATGCATTTCCGGCGGGGCTTCTCAGAACCTGGCCTGCCTACTCCAAGACTTCACAGACCCTGTATATACAAGGAATGTTTGGATAGTGGCTCCGGCATATATGCTTGCGTTCCGTATATTCGAGGATGCTGGGTTCCACAAAAAACTCCGGGCCGTGCCCGAGGACGAAGAGGGTATTGACATGTCGTATCTGAGAAGTCAGATTAGGCAGAGTGAAGAGAGAGCAAAATCCGAAAACAACAATGAGCCGGTGAGTCGTTGCTGAAATGACGTTGAAGATTTATGCCGGAGTTGGAGTTTGTTGTAACCTTGCCTCAGAATTATGCTCCCTCAACAATGCGTTTATTTTTGCATAGCCTTACTGACAGCATGACCAGCAATTTAAACCTCCGAGGCCTTCGAACAAAATTTACAAACATGTCATCTATGCGGTGCCGGGGTTTTCCAATCCTAGTTCCAAGACCATGAGCCTAATGAGAAGAGAGGAGTTGGTACGTCTGGCGCGAGAGTATGACGCTCTTATCATTACAGACGATGTATATGACTTTCTGCAATGGCCATCAAGTCTCAGCCCAAGTACGCTTTCAATCGAGAAAGCTGGTTTGCCCCGTATCGTCGATATCGACCGGTATCTGGACGGCGGCGCCGAAAGACATGGCGCTGATGGGTTCGGCAATGCAGTTTCGAATGGATCATTTTCCAAGATCTTTGGCCCCGGGTTACGGACAGGCTGGTGCGAAGGAACGCCTAAGATGGCATACGGGGTATCGCAAACGTAAGCATGCCCTCTGACAAGCTCTTCGATTCTCACTCTTGCTGCGCGCCATCGCTCGTGCTAGATCTGAGGTACCCGAGATCGGTACCATGACGGCTAGATCGATGTCGACGGCCGACTCCACAGCCATGTCTCGCTCAAATAGGCAGTGACAGCTAACGTGTTCCAGAGGATCGAGCCGTTCAGGTGGAGCACCCAGCCAGCTGACAGCCTGCTTTGTGGCCGAGACACTGGAGACTGGAGAGCTCCAACGCTACGTGTACGACAGACTCCAGCCAGTATATGGTAACCGGTACCGCCGTATGGTGGAAGGAATTAACAAGCACCTCATTCCACTAGGCGTCAGCATTCCCCAAACCGATCGCGAGATTGTTGGTGGATATTTCATTTGGCTCACGTTACCTTCTCCACTGAAAGGTGCTGTGGTAGCACAACGCGCAAAGGAAGAGGAGAATTTGGTGGTCGCACAGGTGAGTACAAACCACGATTTACGTTCCAAAACCAGATGATGAGCACGGCTAAAGACGACGCTTGTACAGGGCGAAATGTTTGAGGTGAGTATACTTCTCCGCTATCGTGTGCTCACAGCTGACAGATGTAGGTACCCGGCGACACCGAACGTGAGGGCACGTCTTTCAGCAATGATATTAGAGTTTGTTTTGCGGTATGTACTACTATGTTGGACCTCCGAGCCGTCACTAACATGCTGCTAGTGGGAAGAGGAAGACATGCTTGCTGAAGGCATCGAACGACTCGCCACGATTATTAGCCGCATGCTAAATGAAGAGGCCAATGGAGGTCAGTCAACCCATCATATGGCTGCCCAAAAAGAAGACGCGAAGAACTTGTGGTGATTGAGAGGGGAGCAAGAAAGGCGAATGAAATGGACGATCGGGGAATCTAGGTAAATCGCAACCCATCAGCCACAATCTAGATCATGCGCAAACTCTCGCAGCAGCGCAAGGCAGTTGTTACATAGCACGGTCTGCACAATATCATTCGTCGAAGGTGCTATAATAGAGCCTTAGAGAGGTTGCGTTAAGCACAAGGGATCTGCAAGGCCAGCCTTCGGGTTTCATTAAAACATCCCCCATGCCCCACACCAGCACCCTGAACGAAATGAAAAGCAGTATACCCGGGGCCGGCGCGAAACACGGTGACCGTTGGACATGCAACCTAAGGCGGCGACTGGCACAGTAAAGCGTAGTTTCTGATGCTTGTGTACCTGCATAAGGAAGTTTCGGAGCACGTCACGTCGAAGGAAGCGATCAAGTTGGTGTTCGGCACGAGCTTGTTCTGTCCGCAAGGCTCGTGCAACGTTGCGCACAACGCTCAGCGAAGACGTGAAATGTTTCTCTTCTAAAAACATAGTGGAGGCAAGACGTGTGTCTACGATGCGGAAGACACATGCCGAGGCTGCATTGTACTCGACCACAACTTCGCCTGCATCGGCCCATGACTCTCAAGCGCCCTCTTGCATGGAGACCGGCGCATCGCAGTGTATCCACGATCTCCTGCCGGCCCGTCGCGTCGAATTGCACAGAGGTGCGCGTGGCGTTGAAGCGCTGGCAAATGCTTTTATCAACGCGTCGGGCGAGCGAGGGCCTGTCGATGCCCTGGCGTTTCAAAGCCGTCTCACTTCCGGCCGCCGGTTGTGGCGCGCCAGTCAGATCCTTGTTTCCCTTCCAGGAACAAACGCTCGCCTCGCAGCCTTTGGACTTCCTCAACCACTTACTGGCCATCGTCTCCCGCTTGTTTCACGCGGAGAAAGGGATTCAACGGGGACAGTCTTGTGGGCCTTCTTAGTGAAGACCCTAGGTAATTTTGGACCTACGCGACGGCGACAGGGTCGCATTCACGCAACCACTCCTCGGCACTTGTCTGCAGGCGTGAAATGCGGCTTGCGAACATGGCCGCAGGTGCTCGTCATGAGGCGAAAGAGAAGGATGAGCTTCGGAGTGAAGCGGGAAGTGCAGGTGTACACGATGAAGAGGCGGCAGAAGAGGGATGGTATCACAGCGAAGACGAGGATATAAAATGTCTACTAGATACCGGGGAACATGAATCGAGCACAGCACAGCGAACATCACACCCCGGCTACCCGAAACTTGAAACAAGGAGTTTCCAGAACTTTGATTGGCGCCACGAAACTATTGTAAGTTCCTTCCCGAATGAACTGCTATACTTATACAATGCGTGGCCCCCCCTCTTCACTTTTTCCCTTCACGCAGGTTTCCTGTCCTCTACTAGCACTCCACTGTGTGTCTTCAGTTCTTATTGTTCTCTGTCATTCATTTCTATTGTGCAGAAGTTTTCTTCTCACAACAATATTCCTACTTTCTACCACTTTCGTTGCCAGGCAACCTTACTGCTTTATCCACCACTTCGCAATCCTGCAAACTTTCCAACACAACGATCCAACAGCACTATCAACGTCTCTTGCAGGTCAACTGACGACGATACTTCCAGCCTTTGAGGTCAATCTTTCGACGTTTAACAACTCCGAACTTCAACGCACGCACTGCTATCATGGTTGCCTTTAGCGCTGGAGCGCTTCTATTGACGCTGCGCGTCCTCCTTTCCGCCACTCCCTCCACTGCTGTGCCTGTTGCGCAAGCACCAGCTCCATCATCAGCACCGGCAGCACCAGCACCAGCACCAGCAGCTGGTGCTTCCAGCTACTGGCTTGAGAAAATCGAGCGCCAGGGCCAGGCTCCTTTCAACCCCAACCCAGCATCTTACAAGGTCTTCCGTAACGTCAAGGAGCTCGGAGCCAAGGGTGACGGTTCTACCGATGACACTGAAATCATCAACAAGATCATCGCTGACGGCGATCGTTGCGGCGAGGGATGCGACTCTACCACCACAACACCCGCGCTCATCTACTTCCCTGCCGGCACTTACATGATCAGCAAGCCCATCATTCAATACTACTACACCCAGTTCGTCGGTGACCCATTGAACATGCCTATCCTCAAGGCCACTCCGGACTTCGAGGGTATGGGCTTGATCGATGCCGATCCCTATATCCCAGGTGGTGACGGTGCCAACTGGTACACGAACCAGAACAACTTCTACCGCCAAGTTCGCAACTTCGTCATTGACATCTCTGCCACCAAGGCTGCTGCAGGTATTCACTGGCAGGTATCCCAAGCAACAAGTCTCCAGAACATCGTTTTCGAGATGGCCAAGGGTGACGCTGGCAAGGACCAGAAGGGTATCTTCCAGGACAACGGCTCCGGTGGCTTCATGACCGACTTGACCTTCAACGGTGGTGCGATTGGTGCCTTTATGGGTTCTCAGCAGTTTACCATCCGCAACATGACCTTCAATGACTGTGGCACCGCTATCTTCCAGAACTGGAACTGGCTTTTCACATACAAGAGCATTTTCATCAACAACTGTCAAGTCGGTCTTGACATGGCCAACAGCCCCGCCAACCAGACTGTCGGCTCTGTTCTGTTACTGGACAGCAAGTTCACCAACACCCCCATCGGTATCAACTCGTCTTTCACCGAGAACAGCATTCCCACTACTGGTGGTACCCTCATCCTCGACAACTGCGACTTCACCGGCTCTGAGAAGGCCATTGTCGGTGCTGCTGGTAACACTATCCTCGAGGGTGGCAAGAAGGTCGAGACCTGGGCTCAGGGTAACGCTCTCGCTGCTGGAGCTACCCTAGGTCGTGTTCAAGGTGACGTCAACGGTGCACCCGCGAAGCCCCAGAGCCTCCAAGGCAACAATGGTTGGTTCGAGCGCAGCAAGCCCCAGTACGAGAATGTCGATGTCTCCAAGTTTGTCAGCCTGAAGTCCAAGGGCGCAGTGGGTGACGGTAAGACCGATGACACGGCTGCTATCCAAGCTGCTATCGATGGTCTTCAGGAGGGTCAGGTTCTCCACGTCGACCACGGTGCCTACCTCATCACTAAGACTGTTGTTATCCCCGCTGAGAAAAACGTCAAGATGGTTGGTGAAGTCTACAGCACTTTCTTCATCACAGGCGAGTTCTTCTCCAACATGGACGACCCCAAGCCTGGATTCCAAGTTGGTGCTAAGAGCGGTGACAAGGGTTCCTTTGAAGCCTCCGACCTCATCATCGGTACTCAAGGTCCTGCTCCCGGTGGTATCTTGATGGAATGGAACATCAACGCAGAGAGCGGTGCAGCCGGTCTTTGGGACGTCCACTTCCGTGTTGGCGGTTACGCCGGAACCAAGCTCCAGTCCTCCAACTGTAAGAAGAACCCCGATGCCACCCACGAGCCCAACCCAGAGTGCATTGGCTCCTTTATGCAGCTCCACATCACCAAGAACTCCAACGGTTACTTCGAGAACGTTTGGCTTTGGACCGCGGATCACGAGCTCGACCAGGACGACCACTCTCAAATTGACATCTACAACGGTCGCGGTATGCTTGTAGAATCCCAAGGTCCTGTCTGGATGTACGGCACTGCATCCGAGCACTCGCAAATGTCGCAGTACCAGTTCTCCGGCGCCAAGGACATCTTCTACGGGGCCATTCAAACCGAGACGCCTTACTACCAGCCCAACCCCACTGCTGCCGTTCCCTTCACCAAGAACGACAAGTTCTTCGACCCGGACATGAGCCAAGCCAAGGCTGCCTGGGCTGTGCGTGTCACCGATGGTAGCGAGAGCATCTGGAGCTACGGCGCGGGTACCTACTCCTTCTTCCAGAACTACGACCAGGACTGTGTCGTTGGCCAGAACTGCCAGCAAGACATGAACGAGGTTGCCAATTCGACAAACATCAACTGGTTTGGTCTATCGACCAAGGCTTCGGTCAATATGATCACTATGGGTGGACAGGGTGTTGCCAAGGATGAGGACAACCGTTCCAACTTCTGTGCTACCCTTGCTATCTTCGCTCAGGCGTAGGTGCTGTACAGTCCTTTCCGACACGCAGCGCGGACTCCTTGATGGAAGTTCCTCGCTATAGACCTCTTCACTTCTTTCCCCTTCTTTACGGGGCCTGTTTTACGAACATGTATACCCATTTGTTTTTCTTGTTCTGTCTTTGTCCCACAAAAAAGGCGGAATGCCACACTCGCTTAGCAATTACGTTGCGATGAAGTCGAGAGCATAAATATACCCCTGGGCAGGATTGAGGAGTTTGGGCCGGATCCTTTTTTTTCTTCTTAAGCAGATAGATAACATGAATTTGATATCTCATGATTCCACAAAACTCCTTTCTGCTTGCTTGTGACGGGTGTCCTAGAGGTCTCTGCAATAAATCTTAATGAGGTACACATAGCTAGATATTGACGGTCGTAACGAGGGCATCGAGGCTCTCGCCAAAACTCACCTCCCCGCGTGCACGTCCTCGGGAAAAACTTCCCCGCGCAGAATCTCGTAGCTCGAGTGTCTGCGAAACTTGACTTCCTCACACAACCTCATCACCACAATTTTCTCTTGCGCAGACATGTCTGAACGATTGGACGAGTCTACGCGACCCGCGAAACGCGCGCGACTCGACGAAAATACCGACATATCCCTCCCCACAACCTCTCCTGCACCAGCTCAGACAGCTGCAATACTTTCAGCGCCGGCGTCGGTTGACACGGATCTGGAGCGCGAAGTACGCGCCGGTATAACCGAATATGTCTGCCCGAACAACTTGGGTTTCACGGGTATCTTGAAGCAGAGATATACGGATTTCTTAGTCAATGAGATCGCGCTCGATGGGCAGGTGCTGCATTTGAAGAGCACCGAGGTGGAAGAGAAGAAGAAGCCTGTGAAAGAGAATGTCCCGGCGGTCGAAGGTACAGGCGAACACAAGTCAGAGAGCACAATAGCGACCGACGACAAGATCGATGCTGTTATGCAGGATGTGGGAGTCGCTGGTGAGACAACCCTCGCAGTACCGGAACCAGCAAAGGTTGAGGATGCGCCGAAAGAATCTGAGAACGATGGGGAGCAGATCATTGGTAAACCAGCAGCAGCCAAGGAAGAGCAAGAAGAAGAGGTGTGTGACTTGTAGGCGTATACACTGCGCAGATGCTGATACCGTCTAGTTACCGGAAGACGATCGCAACATTCTACATTCGATATTCGGCGAACAGACTACCGACGACATCGTCAAACTTGTCCGACAAGTACGGAAACGCGAATCGAAAAAAGCAAAGGACTTCAAAGCAGTCATATCATCGCCCATAACGGACAAGGACAAGCGCACACAGGCTCACCAGAGCTTGCGTCGCATTTTCCCCAACTTGCTCGAGAGTGCTATGGAGGAGAACCAATGCATACGCATCAAGGCAACTCCCCCAGCGGAGCGCAAAAAGAAGAAGGGCAAGGGTGGTGGTGGGGATCGACAAGACCAGGGACGGCGACGAGGAGGTCAGGATTGGGAGGAGCTTGGTGGTGAATACCTGCACTTCAACCTGTACAAGGAAAACAAGGACACAATGGAGGTTGTTGGCTTCCTAGGAAGTAAGCTCAACTGTGGTGCCAAGGGTTTCGGCTTTGCAGGCACAAAAGATAGACGAGCATGCACTGTTCAGAGGGTCTGTGTCAGGCGCCAAACAGCGCAGCGCATGCAAGCCTTCAACAAGACGCTGTTCAATGCTGCTGTAGGAGACTTTGAGTACCGCCACAACGACTTGAAGCTTGGAGACCTGATGGGCAACGAGTTCACCATCACGCTCCGAGACTGCCACTTCCAGAGCGAAGAAGGATTAGACTTTGTTCAAAGACGGCAACTCGCCAACGACGTGGTCAGCAAGGCAATTAGTGACTTTTCCGAGAAAGGTTTCATTAACTACTACGGTCTCCAACGCTTCGGTTCCTTCGCCGCAAGCACCGATGCCATTGGCCGCAAGATGCTGCAAGACGATCTAAAAGGCGCCGTCGAAGACCTTCTTGCGTATAGCGAAACCGCTCTCGCTGCCGCAAATAACGAAGCCACCGCTGTCCAGGTTTCCCAAGACGATCGCAACCGTGCGCAAGCCCTCCACATCTGGAAAACGAAAGGCAGCGGTGCCGAAGCCCTCGAATTCTTGCCCCGCAAGTTTACAGCAGAGCGAAATATAATCCAACATCTCGGGTCCCGAAACAGCAAATCCGGTCGCTACGACCGCAAAACAGACTGGCAAGGCGCGCTCATGACAATTCCTCGTACACTGCGTCTCATGTACGTTCACGCGTACCAGTCTCTCGTTTGGAACACCGTTGCGGGAAAACGTTGGGCTGAACACGGCGACAAGGTTGTTGAGGGAGACCTTGTTCTTGTAAACGAACACCGCGATAAAGAAGAAAACGCCCCATCCAAGACGACGACATCAACACACGACCAGGACGGCGAACCCATCATAAACCCCTCCGGCACCGACTCCTCTCTCGCTCCCGAAGCAGATTTCGAGCGTGCCCGTTCCCTCTCCGCATCCGAAGCCGCGTCGGGAAAATACAGTATCTGGGATATTGTCCTCCCACAACCGGGTTTCGATGTCGAGTACCCGAGAAATTCAATTGGAGAGTTTTACAAGGAGTTCATGGGTAGTGAGAAGGGCGGAGGACTTGATCCCATGGATATGCGGAGGACTTGGAGGGAGGTTAGTTTGAGTGGGGGTTACAGGAAGTTTTTGGCTAGGCCGCTGCAGCCTCTCACTTTTGAGGTGCATGAGTATAAGAAGGTGGATGAGCAGTTTGTTGAGACAGACATGCAGAGGCTGGGTCGGGAGAGGGACGTAGGCCACAAGGCTCAAGAGAAAGAGGACGAGAAGAAGGGAGAGAATGCTGATGCGCAAATGGAAGAAGGGGAGGAGAAAGAAGAGACCAAAGAAGAAGAGGATAAGATTGCGGTTGTACTGAAGCTGCAGTTGGCGAGCAGTCAGTACGCTACTATGGCGCTGAGGGAACTGATGAAGGCTGGCGGTGTCAAGGCATACCAGCCTGCCTTTATGGGTGGCAGATGATAAATGCTCCAAGTATTCGATAAGGAGGCATGGCGGACGAAAGAACATCACATTCAGGAAATTCGTGGCATTTATGTTAGATGTATTGGAAGGATATCAGTATGACTATGTGTGACAGTGTCACCGCGCACTTCGTCGACGGATGACATTCTGACTGTTTGTCGGCTATGGTTTCACTGAATAACATGGCCTCTTTATATCGACCCCAGGAGTCTTCTCTCTTTGCTCTTCTTCACTCCAACTCCGATCCCAATAGTCTCGCAAGCCTTGAAGGACTTTGGCGTCCTCATACTGTTCGGACCCAATAGACAGGTGTCATTCGGGCAAAGGTTATGTAGGCATGATCAGTGACCATAGGTAGGCGTCGCCTTCCTTGACCAGGATGGTGCTCTATTTGAGCCACATTCCGATAACGACACGGTAATGGCTCCGACGTTTGCACATTGCTTATTGGTCGTTGTGTTGGTCGAGGCGATGCACGCGTGAGTTGTACTACTTATGTAGAGTGTATGTGTGTTCAGTCCCGTTCAGAACTTATCGTTCATACAACATCGTCCGCTTCTTTGAATCGAACAGGAAGAACAGGTGTCGACTTAGGTCTACCAGGTACACTCTCTTCACTTATGTCCCTCTGGTGCAGTGTCAAGCTGACACGCGCCGGTTGTTGCAACCCCTGCTCCTTCTCTTTCTCCCATAGAGGCATGTCGGTAGCGTCGGATTCGGTGCGGCTCAGGATAGGGTCGGTGCTCATCCGACCTCTGATTCCCATTTCGGATGCGAAAGGGGTGATTGCGCTGTCCGGTCGTGCAATGGACTCGGTGTATGAAGGCTTGGTAACCAAATGTGGTAATGAGGCTTTGCGCTCGTTACTGAAAAAGCTCTGGTCAATCTCGGAAAGCGCAACATCTCGTCGCGACAATCGTGACACAGAATGTGCTTTTGAATGCTCGTTGTTCGATCGGTGGGCCGATCGCAAACTTCTTGATATGTGATGTGCGGCACTGGACACAGCGCTCGATTCGCGTGCTTGACGTAGCGCGCCTTTCATGAGTGGACGAAGTGTGGCGAGACAACCGGCGATTATACATGCACCTGCTTCGATAGTGCTCCAGATGGAGATGTTGACGACGCTCCAAAAAAAGTCGTCGGTCTGAACTAGGCCTTCTATATAACGGAAGCGTATTCCAGAACAGATGCAGCCGCTGCTGTGTGTTAGGGGGGTCAATCGATGGGGATACTGGAAGGAGACTTACGTAGCTGCTAGGCAGAGAACAAAACCGACAGAGATCTTGGATCTCTTGTCCATATTGGCATGCCAGAGAATGGGGATGGGCAGCAACAGAAAGACAAAGTCGGTGAAAGTACTAAAAGCGGCTGTGATGCGTACTGTGAGCGAATGTATAGACAAGCGATTCACAATACTACATACCTTGCTGATAGGCCATGAACAAGTCAAGCTCCCGCGACGCACAATTATTCATAAGCTGGTTCATTACGTACTGGTCCAGACTGGGTCCACATCTAAAAAAGCAATAGAAGAAGGCAGATGCCGATGAGACGATGTTGACGCCGACTGTAACGTAGATAAAGATAAGGTGGCAGCGCTTGACGATGATGCGGATGAAAAAGATGGCAAGAGATATCTTGACTATCATGATGGTGATGATGTAGCAAGCCTCGCTAGCAACCACCCACTATGATGGTGAGCATGATGATACAAGATGATGGCCAGAATGAGTACCTTTGTCAACACCTGCAACCGGTCCACGCTTGTGACATGGGTGCCTCCACCATTGCACGCAATGTACAAAGTCGATCCACAGTATACGGTGAATGTCATCTACCAGTGTTAGCTGAAGGTTTTTCTTGGTGAAACTGACCAGTAGCTTACGCCAGCAAGGATCATAACGCTATCGTCCCAGCCAAAGTTCGAGATAACATAGGTGCGAGTCCATATCCTGAGCAAGATGAAGAACCAAGCCAAGGCTAGAAAAGCGATGGTAATTCGTAGTTGCTGCTCGGTAGATTGCGCCAGATCAGTCGCACTGTGCATCATGATCAAGGAAGCTAGGATGGACCTGATCTCGCACGATGTGACAGCGGCCTTGGAAAGAAAGACACAGTCGAAATGGTACGGATTTCCTCAAGACGAATGAGTGAGGAATGATTGTGGCGGCAAAATAAGTGGTTTGAGGACTACATATCCTCTGTAGCTGACTAGGGTATTTGATGTGATACCACGTCTTGCTGCAAGCCACGTTCGAAGCAATGGTACGGAGATGTATGAGACCGATCTAGAATGCCGTTTTGCTCAAAGATAGCACTGTGGGTGTGTAATCCTTCAAGAGAAAAAGAAACAACCAAGAAGACCTGGGACCTGCATTTGTGGGAACGAACCGGCTTAACATACAGCATCATTATGTTGAGCGACTTTGGTTGACTATCATTGTAGTACATGCAGGGCGGCCCATCCAGGTCGTCGTCTCCTATTAGACTGTCAATGGCGGCCTTCTCCGCCCTTAAGCATGCTTTGGAGATGTATCGAAAACTCTAATTCGCCGGCTGGGGCGAATCCGATGCTCACTGGTGTTGTCGCTTATAGGGCCGCGCTGCGGGGGACGTTTGCTAGCGTGCCGCGGATCTTGGGCTCCGCTCCGGGGCCTTCTCCGATGATCTTACGTTCATCTCATCTTGCATGGCAATGTATGCATGTCAATGAATATGCGCGGATGCGAAACGATTGATAGCGGGGAGTGTGGGTGGTGGGGGAGGGTTACAGATAGCGCCAGGTACACAATGCGCGTAGACGAAAGGGGAAGTGAAGCAATTTCCCCGACGCTTGGGCCTCTAGGTTCCGAACTTCATCGCAAACACGACCCTGGCACAAAGTAGCAAGCACAAACGGCGACCGAAAAAGGAACCACACCTTCATCATAGGAGCTGAGTCTCGACGTTGCTGTCTTGTGCGACGCACACCAACAGTTTCGTCATCGCGACGCGCATTCGTATCCGGGTACCTGATCAACACCCATCCGCACAGTGTACCACATTCGGACAATCAGCTAGTGGCGCCACGATCCCTTAAACACCAGAGCTGGCTTAGACAAACCATAATCGGTCTCCTTGGGTAAAAGATTGCCTATTGCGTCTTACGCCCAACTCAGCCACTCTGTCGTACCTGCTTACAGGGCCACGGTTACCACGGGCCCTAGCCATCTCGAATCTTGCATCTCCGGGTCTCGTGACATCGACTTGCGATCAAGTCACAAAAAGCAATTATGCCACCCTCACTTCGTCGCCGAGGTGGCCGGGTCCAGCAGCAACATCACATGCCCCCACCTTCACCCCCAGAAGCAGATGACACGGATAGCGATGTGGAACTGGACGGCCACCGCCAAGAAGAAGAAGACCAAGATCTCGATGGTAACGATGATGACGAAACACTCGGCGACGACCTAGCAGGGCTCGCAGGTGAAGAGGAAGACGAAGAGGAGGAAGGCGACGAAGAACTAGATGACGAAGAGGGTGATGGTTTTGGTTCGCCAAACCACGCCGGCGACACTCCATTACCCAATCTCGATCCTCCACCACCATACCTCCGGGAAATATCTACCTTGGCTTCCTGGACCGTTTCGTCTTCTAAACCGGGTTGTTCGATACCTCAGCTTCGGCATCCAAATACGAATCTATTTTGGCAATCCGATGGTCCGCAGCCACACTACCTCAATATACACTTCTTCAAGCTCGTTCGTATAGTTGGTCTTAGACTGTACCTAGACTTTGAACAAGATGAGAGCTATACGCCGACTAAGATCATTTTCTTAGCAGGCAGCGGTTTGAACGATCTCCAGGAGTGGGGCGAAATGAGATTGGAGAGCCCGAGAGGATGGATATGGGCGGACTTTTCCGGTGTAGGAGATCCGGATAGCGACGATGATGGAGATGACGACGAAGAAAATAATGAAGGAGGCACTACTACAGGTCACCGACCACAACGTCTCCTGACGGAAGCCTACACTCTAAACGGAACGAGAAGGAGTGGAAACGACGCTGCATCTTCTGATTCTGAAAATGCGGCGCCGACTCAAGAGGCTGATGTCACGGACCTGGATCTGGAGACGCCGATTCATCAACAACAGCAGCAGCAGCATACACCGTTTCCTCCTTATCCCGCCACTACACACGGCCATCCACAAATAACACCCCAAACTGTTCCACCATCTCACAACCACAACCTCCGTCATTACAATCACACCGTCACACCAATTCAACATCAACCATCAACACCTTCGCTCCCCCAAACCATATCGCGTCCCCACCCCAGAGCGCCTTTCGCATCTCTCTCCCCTAACCCCCAACCTCGCCCCATCCCGTCTTCCACCCAATCAACCCCTAAGTTGCCAGTTTTGCGCGCTCATCTCGTGCAGATCAAGATATTAGAGAATCATCAGAACGGTAAGGATACGCATTTAAGGGGCTTGCAGATATTCGCTAGGAACGACGACGATGGGTATAAAGCAGGAGGACATGGTGCGGGCAGTAATGTCACGAAGGGAGTCACGAGTGGAGCACAAGGAATGGAGCTGTTGAAGAGGGAAAAGAAAGAAAAGAAAAGGAGAGAGGAAGTGTTGGAGTTGGGTGGTGGCATCATGGGTATGGGTTTGGGGAGTGAGGGGGTTCTTCGTTAGTATTGAGTCGTCCAATCAGCTACTCTGGAGCAAAATGGAAGAGAAACACAGGGTCAACATGGCGGTATGCATGTAAGCGGCACCATCAATCATAATGCTCACAATGGAGGATGTGAAAATCTTGAAATATCGTGATGAATAAATTAAACATCCTAGCTGCGCCATCCACCCAAGCCTTCCTTCCTTCCTTTCCATTCGTCATCCTTTACCTCATGGGATATATCCTTCTGACTTTTAGTGTGTCCTGATACATTTTCCTCCAAGCAGACTCGCGCCCGGATATCTCGAGATTCTATACAGAGCGCCTAAGGAAATGTGTTCGAACCCTAAATTGGAGAGGTGCGGCCGAAAACGGCGCACCACTGATCATCTGTTGCTTATTTGCTGATTACCGCCCCAGAGAAACTTCTTTATCTAGAAAAGACCCTTGCCATCCTTCTTGCCAAGGGTGTTCTTGAGGTCCTTTGGCTCAGGCTCCTGCTCAGGCTTAGCCACCTGTTCGTCGGTCTGACCGTTCTTGCTATTCTTCTTGTTCTGCTTGCGAGGCAGCTTGCTAGGGCTGCGATTCCGGTCGGCGTTCTCCTTGGCCTTCTCTGCCTCCTTAATGTCCTCCTCGTTATCTTCGTAAGCCTGCTCGACCTTTTCACCTGCAGCCTCGGCCTTGCCAACCAGCTCCTTGGCAATCTGCCTAGCCTTCTTGCTTGTAGCATCGGCACCCTCGTCGAGTTCCTGGAGCTTTTGGCTGACGCGGCGGTTGATGTTCTCGAGGAACTTTTGGTTGGCCGGGCTCATGCTACCCTTTCGCTCGTCCTTGATGTGGCCGTTGGTGGGCTTCCTTCCGCGAACAGCGTCCCTAGCTCTGTTCACACCCGAGGAGATGGCGTCTTCAGCGGACTTGTCAAGGGAGTCGAGCTCGCGCTCCACGCTGCGGCTGGCGTCACCAGCTGCGTCGGAGATTGTGCGAGGCTTGAAGTCCTTCTTGGCGTTAGGCGAGGAGCGGCGCAGGTATGATTTGAAGAAGAAGCGCATGAAGAGGATGGTGAGCGGTGCGAGGTAGATCAGATTGACGTAGATGGCGAAAGCTTGGCCGGAGGTGTCGACGCAAGGAACGGTCTGGTACTCAGTGCGGTAGAAGGTCTTCTCGACTGTCTCGTGAGGGTGGAAGAAGTCATGGACCGCGTTGTGGGTAGGAACAGGCTCTCCAGCAATGACTTGCTGCTGCTGCTGCTGCTGGCGAACCGGAATAGGCTGACCAGGGACGGGGATGTTCTCAGCGAGACCTTCGTCACCAGCTGCGCGGTAAATTAGCTTCCTGAGGAAGGCTACAGCAACACCGGTCGCGGTGGGGAGGGCTTCAGCAACCGATTCAGTAGCAGAGGCAACTGCGGATGAGACGGAGGACGAGACGACCTTGGGAGCAACCTTCTCAGCGACCTTGTATGCGACCGAAACGGGGACGGTGTAGGAGACGAAGAGGTGGATGGCGGCGAAAGCGGATCCAACAAGGAATTGGGTGATTTGAAGCGTGGTAAGGGTTCGCTTGACGACGTTGGGGACGCGGTAGCCGAGGGCTGAGACGGTGTAGTAGGTGTACTGAATTCGTTAGTTAAAATCCGGTAGATTGGAGAATGACTACTTACCATCATGGCGTGGATGCCGGAGTTGACCAGGGCGAACATCCAAATGGGAGGTGACATGAAGCGCATACCAGCCCACATGGACAACATAGCACCGGCGTGGTGGTACTTCTGGAGAGTGGTGCTGCGCTTGCCCTTGGCCAGAATGATAGCCGTGTCAAGGACCTCATAGAACTTGGAGAGGTAGAACCACCAGCCCCAGAAAGCAAGACCCTCGTTCCAGATTCTGCCAACATCCGTCTGGTCTGGCAGGCCACTAGGGCCTACAAGAACATTAGAGTTGAGGCTGCTCCAGACATCGTTGGTGTTGTTGTAGGTGACAGCGTCGCCGAGTCCGCGGGGACCGTGGATCTTGCAAAGTGCGTCAATGGTACCGACAACGGCGTTGGGCTCGCTGTAGTGGGGGAAAGAGTGCTTGAGGCAGCGGATCATGGCAACGCAAGTAATGGCCGAGTAGACAGCCAGGAAGACATTGTGGAAGATGACAAAGGCGTAGAATGGGCGGGTTTTGGCGATCCTCCACGGCTTGTTACCGTGTTGGCGGTTGTACCAGTTGACATAGGTGACGGTGACGAAGTAGACGGAGGCAATGGTCAGGGGCACCTTGTACGACAACGCGCCCTGGTAGATGTCTTCGGGGATCGGGAAAGGGTTCGCAAACGTCGACTCGCCAGTCCATGGGGGAGGAATGGGCAAGGGAGCGGCATCGGGAGGGAACTGCAGAACAGCCCTCGACGGCCAGTCGCCGGGGTGGAGAGAGGGGCCTGCACCAGACATGGTAGATGTTCAGGTGGTCGCGAAGATGCGCGGTTGTTGGCAGCACTCGGTCGAGGGTGGGTGCTGTTCGCGAGGCAGGCGCAATCGAGGTGCGGCGGAGTGAAAGGGTCCGGGGACCGCTGGGCTTTTTTCTGTGGTTCCGTGAGGTCAATGCCCAGCCGTTATGCCGCACTCGATAGCAAAAATCGGCCCTCGGATTTCTGGGCGTTCCTGTCGTCGGCGCAAATCTTGGACAGCTGTGTTGTTGTCGCTGGCCAGGCACGCGATGCACAGTCTGACTACACAAATTTGTCGGCGCACGAACCCAGGGCAAGGCGGACAAGTTATATTTGCAGAACAAGAGCACAGATATGCTCGGAGCGAGGACAAATTCAGCAGAGGTGCGTCGGACAAGGAGCTAGAAGCAGCAGGCAAAGGCTCTAGACAGTCCTTCTTGGTTATGATGAGGATTGCTAGCGTTGTGATGCAACCGGGTGGACTTTTTGGACGAATGACATCGCAACCAGCTGCCGAGGCGAATTGCTACAAACTCCCACTGGACAACGAGATCCTCGTGGATATCATCTAAAGAATACAGACTCTCGCAAGTCTAACGCCATCGAGTATCGCAGTAGACACGTCCCGTCTTTTCTACAAAAGACCCGTCTTTGCGCAGTGTTGGCGAGGTAGTCGAAAGCAAGCACGCAAAATTTTGCAGGGATAAGTGAACCTGTTGGGGGTCCATTCCCGCATCTGGCAAGGTGACGTGGGTGCCCGAACAGCCACATCTGGGGAACAGGTTTAGCAGGCTAGGAATACGACGACGCTGTTGCTGGTAGTAATAGTAGTTACTGGATTTGAATTATATACAAGACTACAATGCAGAGAGCTACTCAAAACTTGGGCTTGCTACTCAGAGGAATCGGCGGAGGCTCAGCCGAACCTTCACTTAGTTCCTTCCTCTTTGGTGGAGGTGGAGGTGGTGCTTTCTTCCCAAGGCCTCCCGTCTGCGATGGGCCTTGCGATGGGGCTGGCGACGCGCTTGACGACGCCAGGCCGTTCACTCTACCAGCAATCCCATACTTTTGGTTGAGTGAGTTGGCGGACTTCCACCCAGACGCGACTTGATCCCCGTGCCGCTGCTGGAAATTGCTGGCAGTCGATGCCGCTCCTTTCAAGTCTGAAGCCGACACTTTTGAAGGGTCGTCACGCAGGTTGCTGGCAGTCTTAAGCGCTGCCTGCTTGTCTGCCCACGATGTGCCCGTGGTTGGCGGGGGTGCTGGTGACTTTGGCCCAGACATTCTTGCGAATCTACTCTGTAACTCGTTCATCTGTGAGCCATGCCCTGCTGCAGCTGGAGGTTGTGTGGCAGTGTCCGAGCTTGGGGCTCGTCGAGGAGGAACAGGTGGAGATGGGTTCGCGCGAGGTGGTACTGGAGGAGAAGCCGTTCGACCAATGCCGAAGCCTGAGACAGATACGCCTGCCTGCCCCAGACGACCCAGAGCGCCTTGGTTCAGGATTCCCTGCTCAGGTGCCGCTTCTCGTGTTGCCTCATTGTAGGTCGGTGGAGGAGCGGGCGCGAATTCATTAGGGTTCGAGTTTTGACGTGGCGGTAGTGGAGGACGAGGAGGTAGGCTGGGCTTGGGCTTTGTAGGAGCGCCGGTAGTCGTTGGCGAAGCGGCGCCTGGTCGGAAAGCTGGAGGCTTGGGTAGATGTGCCGTGCTCAACCCCGTCGTGTCAGGTCTGTAGGGCCCTGGAGGCGGCCTGTTCGCTTCCTCTTCTGCTCTCCTCCTTGCTTCTTCCTTCTCCTGCAGCCTTTGCTTTGCCGATGCAGCAGGTGCAGACGACGGTCCTGTCGAAGCGGATGCTGCCGAACCGCCGTTGTAGTCTAGTCGCTTGGGCGGCGGAGCAAATTGTGAGGGGTCTTTCAAGGACGATAGTGGCGTTGACTGGTGTTCGCGGGCCGCCTCTGCATGGGGGTCTTTACCTTGGGCTTTTCCAACCCATCCTTTCTATCCCTAGTTAATCGACGGGTTCATGCAGGCAAGGACAAGCTTACATACAACTTGCCCGAGCTTCGAGTCGCTCTGTCCACCTCCACTGCTCCCGCTGTTAGTGCGATTCTTTTCGGGATGCCAGCCTCCTTTGGTGATGCCCTTGAATTTGTCCATGTCCGTGTTAGCGGAAGAGTCTGGGGTTAGGCGTCGTGAATGTGCCAGCAGACAGTGGAGCCAACGCGTGCGGGCCGATGAGATCATCAGCCAAGCGCGTCTCTAGCACATGTCAGGTCCAGTCGGCACTTCGGGCGGACTAATGCGTCTGGCTGACATCCTGGAGAAGAGCTCATACTGAACGTTGAATAGGTATCTTGGCCATTGTGGACGATGAGTCCGAGATGTGAGGTTTAACGTCTGTGCAATTCATGTTGAGTTGTAGAGAGGTTCAAGGCCGCCAGTCAGCAGCCGCCATACCTCTCTTGCGATACTCCAAGAGACACATACATACACCCGGACTTTAAGAATCTCCCGCACTGCAGCTGCAATGCATGTCTCAGTTCCATGTTTCAGCTCTCGTTAGCTGCATTTTGAGTAAGTTTTTGTGATAATACCATTCCCAAACGGTACATACTTGCAACTTCCAAGGCGAACAACTGCAGCTATAGCCTGTCACAGTCAGCCGTATTGATCCGGGCCTACTCCCCCGCCCAATCACTCCCCACAACAAAGACTTTCTCAAGAGATCTACATATCCAGCAAGTCGGATGGGCCGGCTGTTGTTTGTGAACATGTTTTGTTTGTTGACAGACATTCCATCGTAGAGAACACGAGAGTCACCAGGTCACGATATCAGCATTCCGCACAACGACAGACAAACGCTGTAAGAGTGAGCTCAGCACGCAGACACGGTTCCCCCATACTAAGCTTTGTTAGATCGACGGCTAGGACAGCTGGCCAAGCCTAAAAATACTATCAACCCGAGCAGGTGGGGTTTGTTCGTCTTATAGGCGTCGAGGCTGAGTCCGTCTCTCCAATGCCATCCCAGTATGTAACCAACCGCGCCGATTATTCCCAGCCGGCACTTCGGACTTACATTCTGTTGGCCTGAAAGCTTGCAGCACACATGTTGCTAGACAACGGGTAGCATGTCTGCGCCACCCCAGCCCTCGGCCAGCTCAAAGGACTACCCTCCCACTCCGTGTCCCTTTGCATTCTCCGCATTGCCTTTGAAGTGGTCAACTGCGTGCCACTTCATCGATTCCCAGGAATCTACCCAGCAGAAGGAACGATTGTTGCCTAAGGGTACATAGTGTGCTTTCCCGCGTCATCGATTGGAGTACCAAGGTCACGCCTAAACCCCGTCTCGGCCCCGCATCTCCTGCTACTGGCTAAGCAAGTGGAGGATCACCACCACAATTCAGCTCCCGCATCGGTCATATCTAGGTGTCAGGCATCTCCGTCAGATTGCTGTTTCCTTACTGGTTTCGAGCCTACCACACCACTGCGGTCTGTCCATACGTAGCTAGGAGCTGCTCTCGTCAGCGCATTGTCCAAGCCGCAATGGCTCCTCTAGAAGACGAGTGGGAAACGGATGGAGACGAGGGCGAGACGCCACCTTGGGTCACTGAAATTGAAGACATCGATTCTTCTACCACTGCTCTTCCGGAAATCGTGTTGAGTATTGTCATTGAACCATTACCGTACACTGTGACGGGGTCGACTACGCCTACGAGTAGTGCATTTGAATCTGGCTTCACTGGCATCATGCCCCCCTCAGGCAGACCTCCCATGCCCAGTGTACGGCCTTTGGGATATCCGTCAGATCGTCCATGGCCGCCGTATCAACAGCCCTCTTCAACCACAGAAAGCTGGCAGACTTCCACATCAGCAACGACCGCATATGCCGACCACATGGGCAGTTCGTCACTGTGGGCGACATCGACCTCAACATCGAATTTGAACTCCGAAGCATCGCAATCACTAACCAATCCATATGGAGGAAGGCCTTCGGACTGGAATTTTTCACAAAAACATGTCAACAATGCACCAATGTATGCCGCTGCCGCGGTAATCCCAATTGTCGTCCTCGCGATCATAGGCGGGGTAGCCCTAGTCTGTTTGCGCAAGCGCAAGAGACGGAAAGCCGAAGCAATAGCAGCGCAGACTGTCGCTCAAGAAATGAAGATGCAACCACAACCGAATGTGCGACCTTACATGGCACCACCACCAGGCTCACCACCGCCGCCAGCAATCTCTGTATCACGTAGCCCGCCCAACCACCTACTACCCCCAACGTCAACATCCAGCGCATTCCAACCCATCATCCTTGGGCCTATCGGCTCAGACTCTTCAAACGGCGCTTACCTCACTGGCATCGACACATCAGATATGGTGTCCATTACCTCCAACACTCACAGGCCTGTGGACAATCCGTTCTCAGACAACAATAGTCTTACTGAGCCGCCGCCGCCGTATAGACCGCATAGTGCTGCGCCGCCTAGCTTCACAACGAACTCGAGGCATAGCAGTTTGAGAGTAGGAGATTCGCAAACGAGGCTTATTGAAGGCGATCCGTTTGGTGATCCGGATGACGATTATATTTCGAACTTGTCAGGGCCGACACAAGGCAGGGATGGGACAAGTGTTGTGTCAGACCTTTCTTATCAACGGTTCACATAATTGTCGCCATGTATCATTTGCTACTTTCTTTCTCGATGTATATAATACTTGCGAGATGTATGTCTAGTATCACTTCTCGGATCGTTTCCCTTTCCTCTTTCGTCAGGCGTTTGTCACAATATCGTATCAGGACTTCGTAATAGCATCATAGTGGTCATGGAATATATGAGCAACTCTATGAAAATCTGGGAACCTGATGCGAAACACTTTGACACCACTACCTCCATCTATGACGTAACCGGCACGTAGCCCAGAGTCGCTCATCTCGGCTACGCTGGGCCTAGAGCATAAGAGGTCTCGCGAGCAGTTCCTGAGACGGCCAAACTGCTCAACAATCCCACCCAG